AGTAGTAGTAGTAGTATTTTTAGTAGTAGTAGCAGGAGTAGTAGGAGTAGTAGGAGTAGTAGGAGTAGGAGTAGGAGTAGGAGTAGGAGTAGGAGTAGTAGTAGTAGTAGGAGTAGTAGTAGCAGTAGTAGTATAGTAGTAGTAGTCTTCGTGGTAGTGGTGGTGGTAGTGGTCCTGGTAGTAGTAGTAGTCGTCGTCGACGTCGTCGTCGACGTCGTGGTAGTAGTAGTAGTAGTCCTCGTGGTACTGGTGGTAGTGGTAGTCGTAGTGGCAGTTGTAGTAGTAGTCGTCGTCGACGTCGTGGTGGTGGTGGTGGTGGTCGTGGTAGTGGTATTCGAGTGAGGAAGCGCAGGCATGGGGCAAAGGCAAATTGGCCTTACAAGGGTTCCATCCTTCCCTTTGTTGAGGGTGCCTGAGATCATCACCCACTGTTTTGTCTCACTTTCAAACAAGAAATCGGCATCGCCTACAATTGTGCCAAGTAGATTGATCTATCAGAGTCTTATATTACATAGCCTATCATGGAAGTTGTGAGCTTGCTTCTCTCCGGCACCTTCCGAACCTGCCTTCCAAAATCTGCTGTTGTTTGATTTTGCTCGGAGGTTGGGTCTGCTGCAACTCCACAAGCGGCGTGCACTTTGTTTTGCCACAGTCTGAGACAGAAGATGGTAGAGGATCATTGGACTTATATACCATGCAGCGCCTGCCTCCAGGTGCAGTGCTGACGAGCAACACGACCAGGCCACCATGACTCCCCAACTTCCTGTTTCTGCACGCCGCAGTGGGTTCAGGAGACTGGAGTTCAAAACTGCATACCTTCCAGTTGCTGAAGGGGGGTCGCTTGGACTTCTGTGGCTATCTCGACCTTTTTGCTTAGGAGCCCCGTCCAGAATCACTGGCTCAATGCCTTGCTGCGCTTGCGAGCTCCTTCTTCTGCTCAACTGAAGGCTTGTGTCACCAAGTTGGTGATCATTGCGTCCTAAGTGGAAAAGCCTTGTGATTTTTCTGATTTGCTAGATGCTGGGAACACAAGTGCAGAATTTGTACAGTGCTTGCTTTGTACTTCTCAATTGGGACTTTTCAATGCTTGGTTGTCAGATTGGTTTTTGTATCTCTCAATTCCAGGATGCGGTTGGTTTCCGTATGGTGCTTGGTGGGCTGCGTGGGAAATTTAGAGGCGGGTTGGGCCGTGGACTTTGATCTCCAACATGTTCAAGAGGATTCTTGTGGCACTTCTCGCTCTTGTCAGCAGGAATCGTAGTTTGTGATGCAATGGCCGGCTATGGTATGGCGGCAAGGCCAAAGAATTTGTGTTTCTGAGCCGAATCTTGGTTCCTCCTGTGGCAAGCGCATTTGGCTTGGAACCAGGCCGTGCTTTGACAGGCACGTTGGCTTGTTTATTTCCTTGGTTCACCCAAAGCTTTTGGATACAGCGGAGGGTGGCCCAAAAATGGCTGTCCGACACTTTCGCAGAAGATGCAGCCCAGACCTCAACTAGGGCCAAATGGGCTTTCTGGCAAGACCCAAGGTAGGCCATGGTAGGCCAAGATTTTTTTCTTGCTTGCTTTGGAGGGTTTGCCCAGGATGTGATTTCAAGTTTGGAATTGGCGGGTTTACTGGAGAAGCGGAGCATTGAGGCATGGAAGTTGAGGTGTCAATTGGGGGCATTATTGTTTAGGCAGTCGGTGCCTTGTTGCATTTGGTGCATGGGAGCTAGTGACTGATTCAGGACCGGCACCGGCTGGTGGCTCCCTCAAAACACTTGCAGTTCAAAGTAAGCATTGCACGGGTGGGGCATGAGCCTTTTGGCTCAGTATTTGGCTCATTTTGCGTCAGCATGAGGTTTTGCTCCTGGTCCAGGAGCCCCATGTTTGGGCAGCGCGGGCACTGCTTGGGGGCTTCTACGGAGCCTCCTTGGTGCTTGAACTGAGCAGTGGTGGTGCCAGGGGCGATTCGTGTCACTCTTGTTTTTTTCCTTAAGTGACATGAAGTCACGTTTTCTTTTGAGGTGCAGTGGAAAGAGGGCGGCCGAGAGCTGGAATTCTCGAGTCCAAGCCTTGGATTTCAAAGCAGATTTCTGCACATTTGTGCACTTCGGATCGGCACCATGCGGCCATATCGTTTTTGAATGACTCAAGCCGGGTATCAGCCAGTTGGGCTTTGTCAGCAGGGCTGTACGAAACACCGAGGTTCTGACGCCGCAGACTTGCAAAGTTGGTTGAAAGGGCCGCTGGAGTGTGCGGGCAACGTTCATTTGGATGGGCTAATGTTGGCGCCTGACAACTCCTGGCCTGGAACGATCCTAAGTGGCCCGAAAGATGTGGCAGAGTCCTTGTGCTGAGGTCACTCTGGTCCTGGTTTGCTCAAGATTTGGCAAAAGCGGCTGCTGTGTCTTTGAGAAGTTTACACATGTGTCGTATGTGTAAGTGCATGTGTATAGTCATGTCTACACATATCCGTAAAATTCCGTAAACATACTGTGACAAGTCGTCGCATTCTCATAGAAGCAGCGGCGGGGTCCGATTTTGAGGCGCCTGCCTATTGTCATGTTGGGCCCTGAGGAAGCTTGGAGGAAGCTTTTGGAAAATCAAAGTAAAAAGATGTAAAAAGAAATAAACAGGATCTTAGTTGAGTATATAAAATGTAAAAGATAGTCCAGACTCAAAGAGATGAAAAGCTCCTTTCATGAGGCCCTACCGCCCCAAGTCCACCCTTTTTTCGTCATGTTTCTTTATATAATAGGTTCACTCTATCATTTGGCATTTCGAGGTGGCCATTTGCCGTGTGGAGGACTTGGGAACTTATACGCATGGCATTTGCCGGGCTGTTATCGAATATGCCGCTGAGTGGCGGCCGAATGCTTTTCGAGACATGCATTATGCAGGCCTGGGCTCAAACACTAGTGATGTAGACCCTGTGGGTCCTTGGAAGAGGTTGCATGTGACGTGCAGGGGCAGGCGGGAGGGCCAATATTGCCAAGGGCCGTTGGTGGAGAGCATGCTGTTCATTTGGGGATGTCACCTGCTAGAACTTGTGATTCAGTTTGCTTCCAGGGTGAACGTAAAACCATGAGACGTGCGAGATTGGCTCAAAACCGACTGAAGGCCTTTGAAAACTCAGGAGGCCTTCGTTGTATAGTGGTTGCAGCCTTAGAGATTTGAGCCAGTTGGCAGTGGCAGCCATGGCCGATGCGGACATCCGTCAAAGAATGGATCATCGGCGCAGAGAACAATTCGAGAAGTTCACCAGGGCACTTGCCGAGGTGGTTTTGGCTGCGTTGATTAAGAATGTTCAAATCATTGCTACAAATCTCGATGGTAAGAGTTTTTGTGTTCCCTGATGCTTTTTGCAAAGCTTTCCAAGGTCAACCCTTTGCAATTCATGGAGGATGCTGTGGTTGGTGCGTGTTCTCTCGACTTGCAGCTCTCGGGTGCCATCCCTCCAGTCACAGAGTTGCGCCGCAACGATGCCGCTGGCGCTGCAGCGATAGTTCTCAGTGAGCGCCGTGCAGCAAACGAGCTCATTGCCAAGAATCGTCAGGCTCTGGTTGCCCAGAAACTGCGATCCAGCCACCGATGATGTGAACAAATCTACGGTTCATTCGCCTTTCCTTTGCAGCCCGAGTTTTGCGTGACTTTGCATTTTGTACATTTCAGTCCTCTCCAGCCTAGAAGCAGTTTTAAGAAAAACATCAAACGTGAACACAGCTACTGCGAAAAACATCTTTGCAGTCGTTCCTTTTTGCATCCAATTTGAAGCTCTAGGAGGCACGCCAGATGCCGCACAAACTGGACTTCACAGCATGCCAACAAAAAAGCAACAGATGCTTGAGCATGCTTCCAGTCTTCGAAGTTCCTTCTGTGTTTCCAGGTCGTGGAGGTTGGAACACGCAGCATCAACAACAGAAAAACAGGGGCAGACACGCAGGCAAGAAAAACTGAGAAACAATTTCAACATAACATCACCGACGCCAACAATGTAGCTACTAAAGTTGCAGTAGGTTGTGAGCTCTTTGGAATCCTACAGCTCAATGGTTTTCAGAATGCTTATGTCACCCCTCAAGTACCTAGCCTTGACCTGGCCAGGCAGCGAGCCAGTCAGTAAGAAATTCGGGCTGTTCACACCACGTTTGGAAGCCTGCCCGTGTGTGATGTGCAAGCTTTATCCGTAGACTTGCCCGGTTCGCAGGAGTCACTGACGACGAAGCAGGCTGTGGTGCATGAAGCACGGCAGATTCGTTCTGCGCAGTGGAAATTGCAAAGTGTGCGTCCGACCTCAATGGACAGCACCCGTGACGGGTCACCCTTTCACATGCATAACCATAGCCCATGGTCAGACACCTCAGATGGGGATGGGCTCTCTTCCAATGTTACCCCGCGTCCTGGCGCAGAGTCTTCGTTAGCGCAGACAGAGCGGTCGAGAACCGCTCCTTCGCTGCCCCTTGGGAAAGCTTTTGAAGACATGCTTGCCAACTACTATAGGACGCATGAAGAGATTCAGGATGCCGAGTTTGCTGCGGCGCAGAAAGCTCGCCGTGAGGAATCAGAACAGCTGCAACGTGAACATGTTCGCCGAGAACATTTTGAAATGCAGCACCGCAAGCGGGAATTTGCGATAGTCCATGAACTACATCGGCGGGAACGGCGCCGGGTCTTCGATGATACCCGGGCTGTGCTCGTGACCGACCGACTTGCAGAAGAACAACGGAAATTGCGCTTTGAGCAGCACCTGCGAAAGGAAGCAGCTAAGGAGCAGCGGGAAGAGCGCAGAGCACGCAGGGCAAAATATGAATCTCACTTTGACTTTATTCTCAGTCAAGAAGCTTTGGATCGAGCATGCAATAAGGCAGATATGCAAAAGCACTGGCAGACCCAGCGTGCTCAAACAAAGGAGAGGGTTGAACATCGCAAAGATAAGTGGACGAAGCGGTCTGGGCAGCTACGGGCCCGAAGGCTGTTCCAACAAGAGCAAAAGAGGCTGTGCAGCCGTGAGCAGGAAAGGCAACACGCATACAATGCGGCAAAGCAGAGGGCTGCGCATGAGAAGGAGCTGGTGCAACGTCAGGAAAATGTGCACTTGCACCATGTACTCAAAACCATCGTTCGCGAAATCCAGAAGGAACGAAAAGAACTAAAAGACGGCAAAAAGCCAGTTGTCACTGTAGTCAGAGCTGATGAACCTGCTGCGCCAGGAAGCAGTCGAGAGAACGGGCCACTGTCTCACCAATCGAACGATGTGATAACCTCATTAAATGATGAGGTATGTGCTGTCCTGGGCATTGAGCCCGATGGAGGCACAATCACTCGTCAGCAGGAAGTTCGCAATCCGCAACCGTGAAGCCACAGGAAAGGGTGAGAAGGGAACACCGGGGACCGGGGAGCTTTCTTTTTGATGTGTCAACATGCTATTTGCTTCCAACACATGCAGGCCATGCGCTGGCTGTGGGCACTTGCTGCCTTGTGTTATGCGGCGGCGAAAGAGGCAAGGAAGAGATTGTTGGTCACAACAGCGGTGATCCTGACTTCAAGTCACTTCACCAGCTTTTTCTCCTATTCGTGATTTGGCTTTGTCCCAAGCGGAGGCTGAGCAACCGAGGCCTTGACCCGCTGTGATGTGTTTAAACTTTAAACTTTTTAAAACACATGCTTCTTCACAGTCAATGTTACCATTGATGTATGCACTAAGGCCTTTGAATGAACCAGCGGCATTGCTGGAGTCCGACGTGAAAACCGCGACCGGCTCGCAAGTGCATGGTGTGGCTTGTTTGCAATTGCGTAGATTAGTGTAACAGATAGGCCCAGGCACCACACCACACACAAGATTACTGAGATTCTGTGGAGTTGGTTTTGTGTTTGTGATAAGGATGAATCGTCACCCCCGTCGACCACTGAGATGTCCGAGGACTGCAACTGTTCCATGTATTTGGATCCCTGTCCATCAAGTGCAAGACATGTGCGTTTTCCAAGAGCCAAAGAGACGCTTTCCGTTTTCAGGAAAAGCAGATAAAGAAATGGGAGGAAGAGAAAGCTCAAATCGCCCGAGAAGTAGAGGAAAGGATCAAAGAGCCGCCTGGTGTGCTTTACGAAAGGTAGCCTCAGCTACCTGATCTCAGTTTGCTTTAGCAGAACTGGTATCGAAATGGGTCCAGTGTGCTTTCCTTTAACATGGGGGTCTCTAAGCTTCTAAGGTTGGATTCGATTAGATTCTTCACTTTCTTCCACCCCGATGATCAAATTCCCCTTGGTTTGCTTTGTTTTGGTGAGTTGTTTGGGTTGTTGAGCTTCAACCCATTGGCAGTTGTTACCCTCTGTGAAGCCCAGCTGCATTGCATGGCCCAGCTATTTCTGACAAAATCAGACGGAGCTCCCGAAAATTTAGCAGTGTGCTGTCAGTCAAGAATTTGCTGCCGTCGGTTTGCTGTTGCTGACCTGCGGTCTGCGCATAACTCCACTTGCACATTCAAATAGGTTTTGTGGTGGGGGCACAAGGCATGCGGACAAGAAGCAGGAAGAAGAGGAGGTGATTGCTTTTGCCTTTGCCCACGTCCATATTCACCGTCAGTTCATCACGAGTAAGTGTATATACAACTGATTGAGATAGCGTACCCGTTGTTTTGCCAGCGTCTGGAGGAGAGTGAGAAGGCTGAGTCCGATGCAACCTTTCTGATCTTTGCTGTTTTGGGCCTTGCAGCAGTTGCACGCTGGCTATGCAAGGCTTGGGTGGTTGAGAGGCTTTGTGCATTTGGGTCTTTCCTTCTTATTTGAGAGAGAGGGCATGAAACGCTTGCATCAATACTTGTTCAATCTGTCAATTAATTACGCGCAACCTTATTGAAATGCGTTTGCGGCCTTACCAACAAACATGGCCTCCAGCCTCCAGTTGACATTTCTTGAGATGAAGTTGCCAGGGTCAATTTCAGAGGGAGCACTCGGGCTACATCATCATCACGGACACATCTCCCACCAAGAAGCGGCACACTTCTGACCCAGCTAAGGCCTGGGCACAGAAGCCACTTGAAGATGACCTTTTAAGTCTCTTGCGTTTCCAGTTTTCTGTGCAGTTTCTGGTGTGCACCATGCTCTTGCAGTTTACAACAGTTTACACCTCCCATCCAAGCCTTGAAAGTCGTGCTTTCATGGGGTGATGCTGCGCTACTTGAAATGGTGCCCCTCTGATTGCAAAAAATGTCACTGCCAAAACCAAGGAGGACACACAGTAGCCTGGCACCTTGGTTGCACATAGCAGTCATACGAGACAAGGATCCTTTTCAGTCACACGGAATCATACGACATTAGCGGATCCTTTCACCCACCCTATCGCTGTTGCCTAGGACAGTGTAGAGAGAGGGAACGGAGCTGGTGCAAGTGGTGTGCCAAGTTCTCCTCAGCGTCCAGGTGGCTGGAACTCTGTAATCATTAGCATTTCTTTCAAACGATGCGCATTTTCCGGTAAGTACAATCTTGAGAGGCCCAAAGTCAAGTCCAGAAGGAAAGGGAGCTCTTTCATCACTCCTGAGTGCCAAGAAGTAGACCTAATGGACTGATGGACATGAAATCCAGCGAGGCATTTGCCATGTTGGTGACCTGAGTGCCAAGAGTCCTGGTTCTTGATGCCAATCATCAGCACTGCCCACTTGTGGGGCTTGCGGGTTACTGTCTAAACTCGGCTGGCGGTGGGCACATCAACCCCTAGTTGCATCTTCGCTCAGCGGAGAAAGATACTGAGCGACTTGTGATTGCTATCTCCGCATAGTCGGCCTAAGCGTAAGCTCTATCTTCCAACTTCGCTGATCCTGATGGCAGGACCTCCTTTTCAATGCGCCGAAGCTGGCGGACGTGCTTTCACAGCGGGGGCTTCGACGCCAGGTCGCAGCCCAAAGCTCAGTGAGTAAAGCATTGTGAGATGCTCTGCTGAAGGAGCCCGCTTCCGCATTGCCACCAGCTCCCACTCAATGGTGGCGGCAAGCAATCGAAGCCTACAGGTGTCTTGAGTGTTAAGTTCAGAATTCAGATGTATTGAGTCGATGAATCATACTGTATATCTAAATCTACACTATCTACTGCCATTTTGAGAGAGACATTTGAGAGCCACAGGCAAGCAGCCAAGTTCACATTGGAAGAAGCTGCGGACATTGACGCTCCAGTTGCTGAGCTCAGAGGTGCGACCCAATCTACAACGAACATGTGTTACATGTTTTACAGGTACACATATTTTAGCTGTTAGTTATATAACTGATGTTCACAATCTAATCGCATTTCTTATGTTGTAGATTCGCAACTAGTGAAGCTAGTGCTTTTGGCAACTTGCCTGGGAAGGTGCCTTTGGGTATGCTGGGGACTTAGAACATCTACAGCTTGTTTGGCCAAGATGGACAACGCGGACAAGCCCCTTTCTAGCAGAGATGTGGGAGCCACTTATCCAGACACGATCTTCCTCACATTATTGTCAAGTTGAATCGAAAGATGAAGGCTGCAGCTTTCCTCAGGACGGGTCGGCCGATTGGCGTCGATGGGCAGCTGTGGCAGAAAAGCAGGTGATGGATTTGTGCGAGCGTTTCGATGCAGGACTTTCTCAAGTGAGTTGGCCATGAATCCTAGTTTCTGGTTTCATGCTAGAGGACTGTCTGCACCTGTGGAGGAGGACCGTTGGTAGAACACCGCTTGAAGACAGCCATAGTCATTCTTTCGATGTATTTCAATCCAAGCGCAGGACTGGCACAAAGAGCTGCGGATGGACCCCCAGGATGGCCACAAATACAAGCCCGAGACTCAGGAGACTGTTGATTTCTACTTGTGCGTGCTTTTGGCGGACTCAATCACATAACTAGCCGACTAGCCGAAGTGTTCCAAGCCAAGCCCAAGTAAAGACGTTGGCTTCGGCTTGTCGTGAGGCTCGAAGAATTGTCGGATCCTCACAGATCAAATGTTTTGCAAAAGGTCATTGTTTGATATTTTTTGAGGCTATTTTTGTTAGCCTTTGCGTAGCTTTCTTGAGGTGCAAGAAGTATGCTGCTACTCGTTCTCGCTTTGATGCGGAGCAGTGCCCTTCTCCTTGAATATGTTATATAGCTGAGAATCAAGGTGAATTCTCAGGATCCCTGAGATTTGGCACTTGCCAGGTACTTCTGCAGTCATTGCTGGTGCACAGATAGTTCAAAATGTCCCGAAACTTTCGCCTTTGATGGTCTTTGGACCTATTCGCCAGAAGCTCAGCTCTTTGTCTCAGCTGTCTGGACACCAGCACAGCACCGTCACTGCCATACCCGCATCAATGAACGCAGGTCAGGCTCCTTGAAGTTGGGTGACGGAGCCCCGAACTCAGCACCTTCTGAGCTGGCTGTGAGCTTGATGGGCACATGGTCGTGTGTACTCTATATACCCCCTTGTGCTGTGTTGGAAACGAATGTGCGCCGTGGCCTTCGTGTCCTTGTGTGGATTTTGGCCATTCAGTCGATCATTTCGACTGGAGCTCTTATTCCTGCTCTCACTGCTCCAGGCGATTTGTTGGCAGAGCGGTTTGGTGACCCACATCAATGCCACTAGCGACATTGCGTGGGTCACCTATTTTTGGCCGCTTGCAGAACACATATTTGAGTGGTAAGTGTGCGACCATTGCAGGTTTGACATGGAATTGGATGGGGAGATCTTCCAGGTTGCTTGAAAGAAACATGGGCGCATCACGCGTCCCATATTTGCATCGCGCATGCTTGCAAAGAGGTGACAGGCAGACAGCCAGGCAGCCAGCCAATCAGACCCTGAGAGAGAAAGAGAAATAGAGAGAGAGAGAGAGACGTACACAGAGAGACACAGAGAGAAAAAAAAACAGAGAGAGGGAGTGAGCGCGGGAAGAGAGAGGAAGAAAGAGAATGAGACTGAGACAGAGGGTGAGGGAGAAAGAGACAGAAAAGAGAAATAAAGAGAATGAGAGAGGCAGAGAGAAAGAGAGGAAGAGGCAGAAAGAGGAAAGCGCGAAAAGGGACAGGCACAATCAGGCACATCCTTGTGCAAATGTATATATAAGTATCAGTATGCATTATGATTACAAGCATATGCAGCACACCCACACACAGACACATGTGAAGTGACAGACAATTAACATCCACATGCGTTGGTTGCACCCGCCGCCTTTGTATTGGGTAATTTGATTGGCAGCAATTGATGGATTGGATTCGGAAGGGCAAGCTTGAAGATGCTGGCAACCGACTGGTATTCAGCGATGGGGATGTTGGGGCCTCGATTCTTTCTTGAGAAAGTCTAGGGGCATAGGCAGATTCTGAGTTATGGACAGTTTGCTTGGAGCTAGGTGTGGACTAGGCAGCTTCCAATTCACGTGTCACAGGCAAGATGCAGAGCGAACCCTACCGCGGGACAGCACGAGTGACATTGCTTCAGGCAGAGAAATCACTGGAAGCAGCGCCATGTTCGGGTTCAAGCCCGCATGAAACCGAGCCATCAATGAAGAATGTCCTTCGTATTAACTCCTAAAAGTAGGGACCACTATGCCAAACTGAGGCCAGCTGATTTACCAAAGGATGCTAGCATAGTGGTGCGTGCCTCTCGATGTCAAACGCTTTGCTGTGGACGCTGAGAGAAGTTGCACACATTGAAGGATGGTGACATCGACATAGAAACACTGGAATGGAAGCTTCAGAACGAGGCCATTTTCCCATTTTGCCGGATCAGGTCATTTGGGGCGGTGCCACATACTGTACCCCATGGCGAGCGGGAAGAATTCTACCCAGTATGTAATCAGAAAGCCACTGTAATTCTCGCTCTCTCTCTATATTCCAGATCCTGAGTACGTTCTTCTTCACTGCGAGGGTCCTTCTCTCTTGCTTGCAGAATGAATGCCCTTTGATCACAGTAGGAGAAGGAGTTGTTTTTCCTGTGAAGCGTGAGGAGGAGATGTTATTAAGCGAGTCCGGCCCTTAGCTTTATTGAATGGTCACTGTAAGACTTCAATACCTTTGTATCAGGATTATCAAGATTCAAGATGATTTAGCTCATGTAAGGGAGAAGATCGTGACTGCAGTAGCAGAAGTTCTCTTCAAGGCAAGTGGATGGCTGCTAGCAGCTAGCAAGGTTTGCGCCTGTTCTCTAATAATAAGTATGCACATATATACTAAGAGAAAGACGTGCGTTATATACTGTCTATGCTGTGCAGGCAGTTGCCCAGCACGACACAGAGCGAGTGCGAGAAGGCTTGAAGCAGGTGCAATGGGAAGCTCATCGCAAGCAGTACTGGCTTGTGTTATCTGTGCTTCCACCTGTCTAGGCAGCCCTTTTGGGTGAAGAAGCAGTCATACCCTAAGAAGTTCAGCTCTATTCTCACAAGAACCAGCCTGTAGCACATGTGCACCCATAGACTTGCTGTTTGGCCTCGCATGCCTACAGAATATCTCAGCCAACCTTCGCTTCTTTTAGAGCAGAACTGGATACAGTATAGTGAGAGTTAAGGTCAAAAGCCTACTGTCCAGAAGGGACGAGCAAGGGGACACCATGCTGCATTTGGCTTTCGCGGGCTCCAGGCTGGCATTTCAAATGCTTTGGCTGCTTTAATGAGAGCAGTAGGTTTCTATTGTGCTCAATCTCGAATTATATATAGTACCGTGCTGTATTTTGGAAGAAATGATCTGCACCAACAAGTTCCCGATCTTCCATTTGATGTGGGGTCGGAAAATGGCCCGAGGCCAGATGAAATGGAAGAAATACCCGGAGCCATATCCATGTTCCGATTTCTTCCATTTGAATGCTTGCAGGTGGTTTTCCTGTCAAAAAAAGAAAAGGAGAGAGAAGGAAGAAGGAAAAAGGAAGAGGAAGCGGGGAAGAGGAGGAGAAGGAAAAGGAAGAGGACAAGGAACAGGAAGAGAAGAGGAAGGGGAAAAGGAAAAGGAAGAGGAAGAGCAAAAAGAACAGGAAGTGGAAAAGGAAAAGGAAGAGGGAGGGGAAGAAGACAAGGAAGAGGAAAAGGAAAAGGAAGAGAGGAAGGAAGAGGAAGAGGACAAGGAACAAGAAAAGGAAGAGAAGAGGAACAGGAAAAGGAAGAGGAAGAAGGGCAAAGGAAAACACAAAGGAAGAGGAAGAGGAAGAGCAAAAGGAAGAGGAAGGGGAAAAAGAAAAGGAAGAGGAAGGGGAAGAAGAAAAAGAAAAGAAAGAGGAAAAAGACGAGGAAGCGGGGAAGAGGAAGACAAGGAACAGGAAAAGGATTTACTGATCAGAGGTGAAGATTAGAAACCAAATGGAAGAAATACGACCAGGAAGCAAAAAAACGAAAAACACACCAACAACCAATAAAGGTTTCGGAGAGTATTAGGCTATTCTCCTCTTCAGATCAGGCGACGTGCGCGCGTGGAAAAAGCAGTCTCTCCCTGCCATTTCTCTCAGTTTTTCTAATGACAGAGCAAGCCTTTAGTACAAATGGAAGAAATTGAACACCTACTTTATGCTACAGGGGATTTCTTCCATTTGCTGTTGCCGGGATTTTCCTCGAAAAATGGATCTTCCATTCAATAAATTGTCTTAATATCTTCCAAAATACAGCACGGTCCTATATATATATATATATGCGTTTCTTCAGGCAATGCGCTGATAGATCTGCCGCTTCATATGCGGAAATTGCAGCCAGCTGAGCGCCGTGTGTTTGTAGTCGGGTAGGGCTTTGTCTCAAGTTCACAGGCATTCTCTTATGCTCAGGAATGGTCTCAGCATTCGGACAAACTTATGGACATTTCATACTTTAAGCACTGTATCGCTCCTGCTCTGGAGTTTTCCAAGATGCTGTAGCATTTCAGTTCTGCTTGGCGAGAGGGCAGTACTGTCTGAGTACGATATGACTGTCACACTGGAGTTCTTTACTTGGAATTTTGCAGGGAAGTTGCCCAGCCGTTATGCAAGACTCACTTATCGGCAGATGGTTAGAGAACCCTGTCCTGAATAGAAGCTTTGTGGGGCAAGGGTTCAAGCCTTCAAGCCTGGTTGTAATCAAGGTAAGCGTTCTTCTCTCAGCACGGGCTGATGTGAATGCCCACAACCATCATGGGGACTTGGCCTTAGCCAGCCTTTTTTCAAAGCAACTTACATGTATATATTATATGTCTATTTACAGATATAAACAACATATTTTTGGTTTTGTCTCATGCATCTGTTGACCTTTAGAATCTAGATCATTCGGTTTCCTTTCTTTCTTCTTGTGCAGCTGCTAGCGGTTAGGTAGGTTTGGAGCAGTTGTGTAACTTACCTACATTTGATCCACTTGGTTGTTCAACTGTTTTTGATGGTGCCATTTTGGACTCAAGAGGACAGGCACCTGTGATCCAGAAATTTGGACTTTTCGGTGTCCTGAGGTTGTTCCTAGGGCCTGGGGATCACTAGTGCCATGTCCCAACAGAGTGATGCTGTCCCAAAGAAGGCTCCTCCCGCTGTTCCAAAGGCTCCTCCTCCTACACCTCTAGCGCTCCAACGACAGATCGCTCTGGCGGCTCGCCGGGCAGCTGAAGTGGTCACACCTGATGACAGCGCCGGCATGGTAGGATCCTGCACTGGCTCAGCGGCATCATGGACCAAATTGAATATACCTTCGGGACCAGTGATCACTGAGGTGACTGAGGAGAGCCTGCCCGAAATTGATGAGCAGCACCCAGCAGCAGCTGGATCCAGCATGAACGAACAGGAGGGAGATGATCCTTGGGCAGCTCCAGTTGATGATATTCCAGCGCCACCACCTGTGGCCAACCCGTCGATGAACCCATTTCCTCCAGCCTCTAGTGCAGCGGCTCCGGCTACTCAGGCGGCTCGAAATTTGTCGGAGGGGGTCAACGAGACATCAGCTGGAAGACGGCTCCGTCGACAACAGGAACGTGCTCAGAGAAAGGGGGCAAACAAAGTGAGGTGGGGTCAGGCACCTCCTTTGAGGAGCCCCCTCAATTTTCAGCTCCCAGGTTACCTGCGCCAGATCGGATCCGGAGAAGGGGATACCTGCGCCAGATCGGATCCGGAGAAGGGGAGAAATCAGTGCTTGTGATCGACAGCCGTGATCAGAGGCTTCAGAGCCCGTATCAAGGCTGGCTCCTCGATGAGATCTTGGTTAATGCGCAGGCTGGGATCAATATTCATGTCGACAAGGCACAGGTCAGATCACCGAACACTGGATACCACTTCAACATCTTCTACGTCCGCACGTTGGATGGTCAGAAGTTGATCATTTGTGGCTCCATGTCATCTTACAGCTCAGTGCCTTCTGGCCGATGGGATCAGGAGACTGGCCGCGTCCTTGCTCACCAGGCTTTTCAGCCATTTAGGTGGCCGGTCACGAGGGATGATTCGGCTACGTGGATGGATCTGAAAATCAAGGTCGAAGGTTCGCTTCTGCTCCACCTTGAACTTCGAGGGTATCGTTCAGACAAAGATATGTCGATTCAGCTGAACTACATCAATGATGCCCTGGTTCTAGGGTTGGCTGATCTTCTATGTGTTCCCTCAGTGGTCATCACCGTTTTTGAGGGGTGGCGCGTGGTGGCCATCTCGTTCGAGGTTGGCGGCAGGATGTACGCTTGTTCGGACGGCGGGGTCGTCGTGGCTTTGGATTACCCTTTGTGCCACTTCGAAATCCGGATGGTGGCTGTATCCTCGGCGGACGCGTTCGGCTGGGACGCAGATCGCCCAGAGATGCGGTTCATGTCCGCGGGGGACAAGCTAGATCTAGCATGTTCCTCCGTGTCAGCTCCATCCAGCTGGCTCCTGGTGTCAAGGGTCTCTGGCCCTACTCTGGTCAAGAACTCGGACTGGTGCCGGAGGCGCTATGCGAGGATCGAGGGGCCGGATCAGGTCATGCAGCTCTCGCAGCTGGCAGGGATCCATGCGCATTGGACGGCAGCCACGCAAGCCGACTCGCTGATGGACTGTGGGCCGAGAGTGGGTGCGATCGCTGTGGAGTCCCATGTGCAGAATCTGCATTTGACTTGCGAGTCGCCGCTTTTTCGCCAGGAGAAGGTGATTGTGCCGATCGATGCACTGGCACTTCAGTTTCATGATCCTGAGCTTGAACAAGCTACGATGATCTTGCCGCCGGTCACGGGGGGCCCTTCTGCACAGCCAATCTCGCAGAGGGCAGGCAGTGTGAGAGCACTGGTTGGCGCTCCAGCTCGAATCAGTTGTCAGGTCTACAAGATTCCAGCGTGTCGATCACACAGCCGGGCCAAGCCCCTGTGCAGAACTCAGGTAGTGGCGGCGTAGTTCATGTGATGCGGAGGTCGCTTGAAGCTCGCAATAACGAGCGGATCGCTGCGGCCGCTGTCACTCCCCAGGCTTTTGTCGCCGGTGTCGAGAGGGCCATGGCAGGTCATCGCGACCCGCTGAGGTCCACCTTGACCCTTTCGGCTGAGGAGATCGCCGGGTTGGAGAGTCTGGATCGCGAAGACCGTCCGTTGCCACGTGCTCACGGCCAACCACGGTCCTATGGGCCAGGAGGCGGTGAGAACATCACCGACGTCTGAGCGATCGTGTGGCCGGGAAGGCTCCAGCTCTCTTCGAGTACAGCTTGATCAAATTAAAGTGGTACCAACGCGACGATCGTTGGCTGAAAAGTGGCACTGACCGCCGCAGTGAGTCCGTCGGGTCTTCTTGAGTCAGCTCTAGCCTAGGGCATGACGCTGGTTCTAGGAGGGGCTCTTGTTTAGGTTGCGTCAGGTGTTCACTTCCCATTTTATTTCACTTAACCCGCAGTGCCATCACATGTGGGTGAAGAGCGACAGACGAGAAGTGCCGATCGTGCGCTGCAGGTAACAGCACCCAGCTCGCTGCGGGATCCCAGCCTGTTCGATCAAAGTGTTGCGACTGAGCTTTTCTGTGTTCACAGGGTTCAGTCCACTTTGATCAGCTGGCTGAGATCCAGAGTCGGTCGTGATTTTGCAGTGCATCGTTCATGTCCCGTCATGTGTGGTTTGGACATGAGTCGATCGACATGGACATGACCTTAGAGTGCTCATTCAAGGTGATCATGGCTCAAGAAAGCACGAATCGTTGGGCTAGAAAGATCCTATCGTTTCCGGTTTTCAGCGATGATTTCGCCCAGGCGCTCATGGCTAGTCCTTTCGCGAATCTAGCTCTGATCGCATCGATGGAGGTGGGTTCGCCGGCAGCGTTCGTGGCCAAAGTCGCGGATTGGTCGACCACCATGGATCCAGCTGTTGCAGCAGTTCTTTTAGGAGCTCCCTTACAACTGGAACAGTTTTGGTCGCAAGCCTCGTCGGTCGAACGAAGTTTCTTTGAATCCACTGCAAACCAGCTAGGCTTCGGGTTGTGTGAGCCGGTTCGTGCATTGGCATCGTCACCCGAGACCGCTCGTTTGAAGAGGGCTGCTGCGATCCAAGACATGTTCAGCAAACAGCTCAAAGCCCCGAGGAGGGCAGCGGGGGCTCCCGAGCCTCCATCCTCGAGTTCGCCTTTGCTTGACCAGGAAAATGCCGAACGGCGTAAGTGGGCAGCACGTCTCGAAGAGATTGGTCGTCGAGCAGGGTCGCATGCCAAGTTGTGGGACGATCCCTCCACAGGGGAAGGACTTTCACAAGCAGAATGTGAAAAGCTCCGTCATTTAGTTCTCACTGCACGGGCCCCACGAACGATGGCTGCTTATGTTCGGACGTTCGAGCGTTTAGAGACCTGGTTCGCTGCTAGAGATTTAGGGGTTTTTCCACTGACCACCTCCAAGATCATGAAGTACATGCTCCACTTGAACGATCAGGAATGTGGACCCACGGTCATCCCCACACTCCGAGCGGCAGTGCGCTGGGTTTGCGCTCGCTTGGTCATTGAGTGCCCAAGCTTGGATGAGCCAGCAATCCTGGCGCTCCAACAGGAGGTGATCACTCAGAGAGCTGAGGCCCTGAAGGAGGCCGTGCCTATTCCTATTAAAGTGATCGGGTGCACGGAAGAGTTCGTGGTTGACGAAGCGGCTCCGGATGCGAGTCGAATTTTTATGTGGTGGTGGTTGTGTCTCGTGTTTGCGTCGCTCAGATTTGATGATGGGAAGCATGTCAGGCCAACCGATCTCCGTATGCAAAATGCGGGACTGTTCGGCATGGCATGGCAGACCAAAGTCGATCGCAAGAAACGCGGAACGCGATTCGCTATCCCCCACGTAGGTTTTCGGAATTCGCAGTGGCTCCAGGTGGGTTGGGTCCTGTTCGGTCGTGATGGTCGCGAGCGTGATTTTTGGATCCCCGAATTGAATACCCGGTCGGAGTTTATGGTAATCCCCCCAACCCACCAGAGAGCGGTCCAGTGGTTGAAGGTGTTGGCTAGAGAGGCCCTGGAACAGTTCGGGGGCGATCGCCAAGCGGATGAGTGGCGGGTGTGCGCTCGCACGCTGAACACACTGACTGCTCACTCAGCTCGGGCCACCCTACTGGACGCTGCGGTTCATGCGGGTAGGTCAACCGAAGAAATCGGGTTGCAGGCAACTGGAAGGATCCCGGTCCTATGGTTTTGAAATACACCCGTAATCGGTCTAGTGTGCCCGCTCGCATGATTCATCAACTCGTTCGAGATCTCGTCGCGGATGAACATCCCGTGCACGAGACTCCGGACGTTGAGCTAGAAGAGGCCGGGGTCATTGCTGAAGCCGAAGCTCAGTTTTTCATCACTTCTTCGGCCGCTAGCTCTTATGAGTTTGAATTTCATTCATCTGCTTTGGGGGACCCCTCTGCGATCGCTTGCGGGAAGCTCGCAATGGCGGAGTGTTCAGCGGTCGGGTCTGAGTTGCCTGACCTCTCGGTCCTCTGTAAAGCCTGCGCAAAGGCCCGACCAGATCTGGTCTTGGCGCTCCAAAAACCAGACCAACCGTGATCACAGAACGGGGCGAAATGAGACGGGAGTGACGTGTCTGTCGACCTGTTTTGGGACGGGGGGTTTGGTAAGTCGCGTTTAGCCGATCGTGCCGAGAGTTTTCTTTTTGCATGCATTCATGAGTGTCGTGACGTGCAGAGTTTTTGTCGTAGGTTTTTCATCCTCAATTTTCAGCGGCGTTCGCTTTCGTGAGTGCACAGGCTCATGGTCGATCGGACGACGTATGATGCGGCTCGGACGCCAGATTTGCCATTGCGGCAAGTGTTCGGACGACAAAGGCTCCCTCCGGACTTGTGCAAGCTTGTGGCCGATCGGCGACTCCTGACAGTGGAAACCTTTGCTATGCTCGGTGACAACATCGCCGCAGTCAAGACCACACTGCAGGCCATGATCCCGGATGCAACGGATCTCGGCCCGGACGGTCCGTCTCAAGAATTGGCCCTGACATCACTTGCGGCAGTGTGGAAAACTTGCTCCACCATGCAGGACCACTTTGCTGCTCGTAGGGCTGGTATGGAGGAGGATCCATCCAAGATTCCCGAGATCCCCGGGGAAGACCACGCAGAATTCCGTGAGATCTTCGTTGGCCGCCATCCTGATGTCTTGCTGCCGCATCACCGGGAGCCACATCGGAAGTTCGTGGAACGTGTTCAGCGGGATTTCCTCGTTCATGGGTCGGTGAAGTTCTATGAGGTGGGCGAGATCCGCACCAGAAAGGAGACCATTGCCCAGAAATCCGGGCTCACCAAGAACGCAGAGGACCTGTTGCGTGTGGTCGCTGTTGATCAACCCTCTCCGGCAGCCTCTGAGCAGCAGGTCATGGATAAGCTTCATGCTTTCTTTGTCACCTTGGAGTACCTCAACATCTGTGATTTTTCTGTAGGTGCCGGTCCACTGCAATATTTGTCAGATCTTGAGGAGTGGCGCCATGAGAATCGTGGATTGGCTCTTCTGCTCACTGTGGACTCCTTGATCAGGAAGAAGGTTCATCGATTGAGCTCCGATCAGAGAAAGAAGTTCACTACATACTCTGCAGCTTTGCTCGAGGTGCTCGCCCATCACAAGCAGCTGTGGAATGATGCTCGCTCTAGCGCGGAGCTCGACCGGTTCAAACAAGCTCACCAGTCAGAGGCTCCCAAGACGCCTCCGGCTAAGCGACAACGGTCGGTGTCGCCGGCCACTCCAGCCAAGACTCCCAAAGCTCGCAAGAACCGCGCTCGGCGGGAGAGGGCCAAGCTTTTGCTCCGACAGGCCAAAGCCGGTAGCTCGACAGCAGCTCCTTCGAAGCCTGCCGCTCGGGATGAGCGAGTTCCAGCGAAAGAGTGGTCCAAGATCACATCCTTCAAGTATTCAGGTCCTCGACGGTGTCCGTTTTTCAATTGCTCCTTGGGGTGTCGTTTTGGTGATCAATGCAAGAACAAGCATCTGTGTGTGGAGTGCGGCAAAGAGCACTCCTGGCACGGAAACCACTGAAGGCGTTCGCCCTCCCCGGAGGAGCTGTCTCCACCTCCGGGGAATTTCCACGAAGAGACAACTGAGGTGGTCCGTCATCCGCCCATATGGCTCTCATGGGATGACGTGCCGTCAGATCCTCGCGAAGTAGTTCATCATGGTCCGTTCTTTCTCGAGATCTTCGCTGGCGCGGGAGGTCTGACAGCAGCCGTGCGTGCGCTGGGCATCCCTTGTCTGCCCGCGGTGGACATTGAAGCTTCGGTGCAAGTGCCTTCGCCCCGGGATGTTCTCGATGTCAAGTCTGGATTGGCTCATGCAGGTTGCTCACTTGGGTGGCATCACGTTCGTGCATTGCGGTACGCCTTGCAACACCTTCTCTGCTGCTCGCAAGCTTGACGGTGGTCCACCACCCCTGCGCTCGCCTCAGGAACCGATGGGTCTGCCCTCTTTGTCGGCGGACAATGCTACGTTGGTGCTCTTGGGCAATTTCTTCCTCTACCGCTCCGTGGAAGTCTGCACCATCGTCTACACGCAAGGGGGTGACTTCTCGATCGAGAATCCTTTGTTGAGCCTCTGGGTGACACCCTCTGTTCAAGTGTTGTCGCAGGCTTGCCGCACCATCGAGGTGGACTTTGATCAGTGTGCTTTCGGTGCTCCCTCCATGAAGCCTACTCGGCTCTTGGTGACATCCGAGGCATTCTTGCCTCTTCACAAGAAGTGTCCCCGTGATCACCTGCATGTGGTCCTGAAAGGGAAGTCATGGAACACTAAGCTCAATAGATGGGTCTTCAAGACGAAGCAAGCTCAAGTTTATCCGGTTCAGATGTGCAGTTCCATGGCGATGGCAGTGAGATCATGCATGCTCCAGGATTTGTCGCATTTTCAGCCTTCTTTCGACCTCGTGCTCTCCGCTGCAGAGAGAACCCGGGCAACCAGAAGCCGCCTCATAGGCAAGCCGCTTCGGCACGCCTGGCGCAGTCCGCCGGTTATCAGATGAAGCGGGGCGCCCTGAAGCCGCTCGTGCAAGCTGAAGTCGAACCTGGACAAGCAGTGCAGTGGGTTCTGGGCATTCCACACCCCTTCACTTTATTGACAGATCTGCCTCCTGCTCTCCAGGATGCCGTCCAGGCTGTGACAGCGGATCCTCAGAAAGTTGTTGCCGATCGGGTTCAGGCGCTGTCATTTTGGGAAATGGAAGCCCATAGGCTGCTGCCGGTGTCAGATCAGCATCTCCGCTCGCTGCCTGACCGCCACCTGCGGCGGCTTCTCCGTGGCGCTGAGGATCATGAGCCTCCGGTTCTCGGTCGTTTGTGCCATATCGAGCTGTATCGCAGCATGCTGCGAGCATGTGGTTCAGTCGACGCTCAACTACCAGAGTTCCTGCTGCAAGGTTTCCCCATCGTTGGGCCGATCGCCCCCTCCGGGCGTTGGCCTCCATATGAAAAAGATCAGAAGACCTTCTCAGTGCAGTATGCTTTGGATCGGGCCTGGGAGATTCGCCAAAAAATCGTCAAGCGAGTTCATGCTCCTGTTTCGGATAACCTCCAGAAGCTGTGGGACTCGACCATGGAAGATGTTCATGAAGGATCCACAATAGGTCCGTTCGCTTCAGAGGAACAGGCGACAGCTGAGCTCCAGGGTGATAGGTGGATCCCGACACAAAGGTTCGAGGTAGTCCAGAAGAACAAGGTTCGAGGATGTGACAGTGCGACGACCAATTTGATCAACCAGATTACGGTGATCCAAGAGAAGCTCCAGCTCCCGTATACGGATCTGAACGTCTCTGCCATTCGAGCGCTACGTTCTGCTGCCCCCTGGAAAGAGCTAGGTGGGTGGGTCCTGGACGAGAGAAAGGCTTACAGGCAAGTCGCGATCCGACCAAGTCACCGCATGTTTTCTGTGATTTGTTTAAAGGATCCCTCTGATGGCGTTCCCAAGTTTTTCATCATGATTGGCCATTCGTTCGGTCTCGTGTCAGCGGTCTATAATTACAATCGTAGATCTGCTGCTATCAACGAGATCCTTACTTCTTTGTTCAAGCTAGTGGCCTTCAGTTTTTATGATGATAAATATGGGTTCGAGCCTGATGAAACTGTTCAAAGTGCCAGGCTTGTCGCCGAGAGTGTTCACTTGTGGCTAGGAGCTAGGTTTGATCAAAAGAAACTTCAACTTTGTAGGTCACCTACGATACTAGGCGTGACATATGACCTGTCCAATTTTGTGCTCCTCGTTAAGCCCGAACGGAAGAACGAGCTCCGAGAGGAAATCGATGCAGTCTTGCAATCAGGATTGCTCGACCCGGGATCGGCCGGGAAATTGAAGGGGAAGCTCATGTTCGGCGCCTCACAGTTGTGGGGTAAAGTGGGGCGGGCATTTTTAAGGGTCATTTCCGAACGTCAGTATCTGAGATTTCCTTGTTCTGAGGGTTTTAAGCTAGATGGGGCTCTGATAGAGTCTCTGAACAGATGGCGATCGTTGATCCTAGACGGACCCCCTCGGCCGATCGACCTGCAGGTGGGGAAGAAGTCTGATGTGATCATTTTCACGGACGGCTTCACACCTGACCCTCGTGAGCAAGACGTCAGGCCTGATAGAATCGGGGCTGTCGCCTTCGATCGTAGGCTGCGAAATCCTGTGCAGTTTACTTCGATCGTTCCGTTGTCGCTCAAACGAGAGTGGCTCGAAAGGAAGACTCAAATTGTTCCCGTTGAAATGGTTGCTCCCATTGTCGCACTCGAGACTTTTCAGGATCGCGTGAGAAATTCAGACGTGATCCTTTTAATCGACTCAGAAGCGGTGGAAGGCGCCTTGATCAAAGGCTACTCCTCCAAAACTGACGTGTGTGGTCTGGTCTCGGTGTTTTCGGAGCTAGCTCTTTTTATCGATCGAATTTCCACAGATGCGAACCCAGCGGACTGGCCATCCAGAGGTGATTTAGAGCGGGGTTCCAAGGCCGGGTGGGTCACGCGTTCGCCTATCTGGCCCCCTGCTCTGAAGCGCTCGAAGGGTTAGCTCATTGTACGAAAGTGGTCTAGGGGCCTGGGTATGATCTATGAGCTTGGTCATAGCCGGTTTATTTTGATGCTGTTTTCATTTCTGTGTTTGATGCTCTCTGGATTTTTGTGGAGATCTCGCACTCAATGTTTTCATGACCGGAGGATCGAGTTCTGATCTGTTGGGCTGTCATCTAGAATCAGATTTGACTTGCTCGACCCCATGCCTTGAGCAGTCGAAAAAGGCCAGCGGTCAGGCTGCTCAGCTTTTGTATGATCTGTGAAACCGAGTGGAAGAGAGACACAGTCGATCGTTCAAACGGTCTGGAAGTTTGCTCAACAACGTTCACAACCTATATACCATGTGATTTTGTTATCTGCTGGCTGAAGGCGACGGTCCGACAGTTAGCTGAAAGCACACCATCACAGAAGGTGCGTGCCCCAAGAAAGCAAATTGAGGCAAGGCATGCTATATAGTCATAAAGTGCTTGAGCCATTGCCCATTGGGCCAAGGAGGCAAGAAAGGCCCAGGATGTCAAGCTCGGACCCTCAGGATCTCAAGCTAAGGAGCCAAGGGCTGAAGCAGGTGCGCCTCAACTCAAAACGCGCGCTTGGAACGAGAGTCAGGTGTCTGTCCTTTGCTGATCCTGGAAGCGCAGAGGGGTTGCACAAGGAGATGGCAGAACACATTCAAGCTTTCTTTTTTGTCTAAACTTTAGTTATTTCCAACCTTTCTGAAACATCGAGTGAAAGGAGGTGATGGGCACCAAAGAGACAGCAGCGGCCCTGGAATGACCCCTGAGCACGATAGGACACCATTGCATGCATTCAGGGTGAGGCCATGCACTTGCGTTCGCCAAGGCACAGTCCAAAGAGCACCAGAGGATCACAGAGAAAGCCACAAGTGTGCCGGTCTGCCTCAAATCGGATAACCATGGTCTTCCAGTTATTTCTGCTGGTAGCGATGGAACCTCCACTCATCTAACACAGTCTTCATCACTGGCAAGTCTGAGCCATGGCCGCATGTCATTGCAACCGTTGGTGTGACATTCCCTGTGAGTGGTCACAAGATGTCGTCAGAAAGCATCCGCTTTTGATGTTTTTTTGTCGGCTGACTTGGTTGATTCGTTGCAGCCTGCTAAGGACTTCGCCCGACAAACGGCACGATGGGAAGTCAGGGGAGGACTTCGACGATTCTAGATGCAAATTGTAGACAGTTCACCGAAAATGGTTTCCGTTCATTACTTAAGTTTGGACAGGACCAAAGCCATGAGAGTGGAGGCCAGGTTGAATGCATTGTTGAACTAATTATAGTGAACACGCAACTGTGCAAACCTTTGATAGGAATCAGATGCACTTGGTATTTTTCATTGACTCCAGATCCATCAGAGCTTTCTTGGCTAGGTGCAATATTGGATTTGCTGCGATCGGAGTGCCATGGGCTGCCCACTGAAGGCTCAAAGCCCAGCGTGGCTGTGGCAAGATTGCTGGCTAAAGCGGCGGAAATGCTTGCGGACGCGGGACTGGGGTTACAGGATGTTATGTCCACATTGTGGGTGTGGTGAGGTTGCACAGAGGGGCAGCTTGTTGGGATCTCAGCGTACTTTTGGATGCACACCATGCTCAGCCTCGAGCAGGGCAATGCTGAATCACCCCAGGTTGAGAAGCTGGCTCATGTAATGTTTCCCAGGCACGAATAGAGTCAGATTCCAAAAATGAGCATGCAGCGATTGCCACTTTGCAGGCTGATGCCAACGGGGCAAGAACACCCTGATTTGAAGTTGCTAGGTGCAAATGAGTAGAGTTTGTTCTCGCAATAGCAGCTTGACACACTACGCGGGAGAGTAATTCTAGAGCTGCCCAATGACAGGTCATGTTCAGGGATCCCAAACCAGGACACCTTAAAGGAGGTCCCCCATGCTGATACTACTCTCGAGCGCTGTGTTGCCTTAATGTGTGAGTCTCCGTTGCGTTGTTTCAGAGGTTGGATGTGTTCGAGAGAAACGGCAGTCAGTTCCAATCTCTATCCGCTTGAGCATTTTGTTAGACAGAGCAAGTGTCCATAGCAGTTTCAAGACGAAGTGTTTGCTTTGTATATGTCAATTTGGTTCGAGCAGGTTCGCAAGACAACAAGACTCTTTTCAGCTGAATTGCTGGCTAAATGATTGTTTCATAATTGCTTTGTCTAAGTTCCGGTCGTGGCTTGCCCGGCAACCAACATTCCAACGGCTTCAGAATCGCTTTACATTGTTTTTCCCGAAACAGTTTGCTGTTGGTTGGTTCCCTCTTTTCAGAAAGGAAGCTGGCCGCAGTCTCTGGCCGCGCCTGAACGCTGGAACGGTGCTTCCCAGTGCATGCTGTCATGGTGTCATGCCTACATGCTGCCTTGCTGTCATCTGGACACCAGCAGAAGGACAACAAGTGACAACAAGGGGAGAACAGGAGGACAAGAAGAGGACGACGGGAGGACAAGAGGACAACAAGAGAAGAGGAGGACAAGAGGAAGAAAAGACGAAGGACAAAAAGAGGACAACAGGAGGACAACGTCTGGAGACTGGCTGGCAGCCGCGGCCAAGCTGGTGTTCACAAGAAGACAGTAGGAGGACGAGAAGAGGACAACAGGAGGACAACGCCCAGACGAAGCGAAATCAAAGGGTACAGTGCGAGAAAACAACTGCACACGCGCAAGCCCTGTGTGGCACCTAGTGGGACAGCGACAGCCAGGCCGCACCAACCACTCCTTTTGTAAGCAATGTAAGAAACCACCCCGGACTGAGAGGAAAGTTTCTAGGGGGTAAAAACAACAACACTTTTCGAGCAGGGGGGTTTAGCATAACGGGACCCCAGCTTTTGCTTCTAGGATGTGGTAGAGGTCTCCAGTAGAAGTAGTTCAGTAGTAGCCGTAGCAGTAGCAGTAGCAGTAGCAGTAGTAGCAGTAGCAGTAGCAGTAGCAGTAGCAGTAGCAGTAGCAGTAGTAGTAGTAGTAGTAGTAGTAGAGTTCGTCTTAGTATAGTACAGTTAGTAGCTGTAGTAGGAGTAGTAATAGGTGAGTAGTAGTAGTAGTAGTAGTAGTAGTAGTCGTAGTCGTAGTCGTAGTCGTAGTCCTAGTCGAAGTAGTAGTAGTAGTAGTAGTAGTAGTAGTAATAGTAGTAGTAGTAGTAGTAGTAATAGTCGTAGTCGTAGCCGTAGTCGTAGTCGTAGTAGTAGTCGTAGTAGTAGTAGTAGTAGTAGTAGTAGTCGTAGTGGTATCATAGTTTCCGACAAAAAACTTATGATGATGGTGTATTCCTTGAGCAAGAGCACGGGGTAGCAGTAGCAGTAGCAGGAGCAGGAGCAGGAGCAGGAGCAGGAGCAGGAGCAGTAGCAGTAGTAGTAGTAGTAGTAGTGGTAGTGGGTACCCACTACTACTACTACGACGACGACTACTACGACGACGACTACTACTACCACCACCACTACCCACTATATACCTACTACCTACTACCCACTACCCACTATCGACTACCTACTACCTACTACCTGCTACCTGCTACCTGCTACCTGCTACCTAATACCTACTACCTACTACTACTACTACCACCACCACTACCTACTACCCAGTACCTAGCGCCTAATACCTACTACCTGCTACCTGCTACCTGCTGCTGACTACCTACTGCCTACTAGGTATCACCTACTAAGTAATACCTACTAAGGAATACATACTACCTACTACTACTACTACTACTTCAACTGCTACTGCTACTGCTACTACTATTCTTTTTACTACTACTACTACTACGACTACTACTACTACTACTACCTCCTACTACTACCTCCTACTACTACCTCCTACTACTACTACTCCTACTACTACTACTGCTACTACTGCTACTACTGCTACTACTCCTACTACTACTACTACTTCTACTTCCTACTTCTACTACTGCTACTACTCCTACTACTACTACTACTTCGACTTACTACTTCTACTTGCTACTACTACTACTACTACTACTACTACTACTACTTACTACTACTACTTACTACTACTACTACTATTACTACTACTACTACTACTCCTACTACTACTTACTACTACTTACTACTACTACTACTTACTACTACTACTACTACTTACTACTACTACTACTTACTACTACTACTACTTACTACTACTACTACTACTATTACTACTACTACTACTACTACTTACTACTACTACTACTTACTACTACTACTTACTACTACTACTACTACTACTAATACTTACACTACTTACTACTACTACTTACTACTTACTACTTACTACTTACTACTACTACTACTACTTACTACTTACTACTTACTACTTACTACTACTACTACTACCACTACTACTACTACTACTTACTACTACCTACTACTACTACTACTACTACTACTATTACTGCTACTACTACTACTACTGCTACTACTTACTACTACTACTACTGCTACTACTACTACTACTACTCACTAGTACCTACTACTACTACTACTACTACTACTACTACTTACTACTACTACTTACTACTACTTACTACTACTACTT